CCTATATAAAGTATATAAATATAGTGTTTTTTTCAAAATCCAAAACGATCCTGCATTTTCAGGGCTCGACATTAAGGGCTGCCCGATGGCCCGGGGCCACCTAGTATTTAGCTCGGGCAATGAAGCCTCACCTGCTGGTTGCCCGATCGGGCAATCTATTATGCCAGTATCATGCAGCTCGCGGATCCAGTAATGAGTGACCCGACAGTAAAACTAGACATATCTATAACTAGTTACGGTAGTTTGAGAGGTAATTAAAATAGCTACGTGTGATATTCTAACCTGAAGTGTGTATTTTGTTCCGCTCACCGCTGCATGTGATCATGCAGAGCTGCGTGTCGACTCGTCAGCAGCAGCTGATCTCTCTCTCCCGTCAGATTAGACTCGCGTTTATGTCCATATCGATCAGATCTAGCTAGTTCTAGCTAATGATAGGACTACCTGCTTATTAAAAGACCCCTAAACAATAAGCGTCTCTATGCAACCGGGTGAGGCCACAAAGTATAGCGCAGCATTTGTTTATATCCCCACCGGAACCCCGAGGCATTACCAACAGATCAACGCACAATCAACCCATACAGGACATCTCTTACTCCCATTACGTGTTAGACATTAGAATTGACTATTCTTGTCTGTCACATACTCTTTTGTCTGTCACATAAGTGGCGCAAGTTGCGCAACTGATGCGGTATTGCGCTAAAGTGAAATTATTTTGACCGGACAGTTAGACCAGAGAGATTTAGATTTGCCGGTCTTCAGCATATTTTACCGGTCATAGTCCGATAATTACCGGCTAACGGGAACTCTGAAACTACTCTTAGGTGTCTTCTGTGTATCAGAAAACAGTTAATAAGTTTTGAAACTTTGTTTGTATGATTCTCGAGGCACGCTGCTTCTCATTGTTCTTGTGTTCTAGCTAGTTTGTAACATCTGTTCTCCTCATCTGCCCAGGCTCCTCGGTGCCCTCCCCTTCCCTGCCCTCGTCATCCAACTTTAGGCCGGCTTTTAGTGACTTTGGCCCCCCCTCCATGGGCTTTGTTCAGGTATGTCTGTGCTACAGTTATTCACACAGCACTGTTGTGTTGCACCACACAAATTGATAGCATGGCCTTGACAGAAACATCTGTATAGAAAACCTCTCAGGAACTTGCATACCTAGTGTTTTATTTGTGAGGAACAGAATGATGAGCTGAATACACCCCCAGCTGTTACTGTATACAAAAGCTGATTCATAATTTTGAACATTTCTTTCTATTGGAAATTAACTTGACTTTATAAGAGACGTTTCCTCTATTTGCAGCTTTTGCTAATCCACCTTCTAAAAGCTTTTCTTTCTCCCTTTATTCCTGGTGTAAAGTAAAAACTCTTGAGACAGCTTTGGAAGGTTATTACTCTGAGGCAGCACAGGGCATGTGAATTAGATACAGTAAGAGTGTTGAGATAGAGGAGGTGGCTGATTTTTTTTGTGCAGAGTATTACAAAAAAACAAATGTTCACATATTTACATGAAACCATGGAGATGTAGAAAGGCTTGTATAGCTTAGGGGATGTGGAGAGACTTAGTATAAAAGCAGTGTGTGGTCTATCTGTTACTATGGACCGTCGCTCTCTTTATCATCACGCTATATTGCACGTCTTTCTTTGAACTTTTTTCTTTCATTGTGATGTGCATTTTCAGCTGAGACCCGTGTTGATAGATATTTTTTTGTCCCATGTTTGTGAAAATGAACAAGCAGCCTGTCAAAGTGTCTCAAGGGTCCACATACAGTGAGCTTCTGTCCGTCATCGAGGAGATGAGCCGTGAGATCAGGCCTACCTACGCTGGGAGCAAGAGTGCTATGGAGAGGCTAAAGAGAGGTATATTTTACTTTTACAAAAACATACAGTACCTGTTCTCGCTACAAGTCGTGATTTGCTGTGGTGTGTGTGTGTCATGAATAGTTCATAAGAGTGCTGAAGGGGGGCAGAGTGGTTCCCTGCTGGACTTGTTCTGCTTTTATTATGGAAATAAAGGACTCCAAGGAAGAGTGGTGACCCTGGGTCATCTACTGGTGGGAATACAACTAATGTTCTCTTTCACTCAGTGTGAAGACGGGTCTGACACAGGACTCGTTCTGCGTAGGGTCGGATTGTTTTTCTAAAACAGTTTTATATTTTGGTATTTAAATGTGAATGTAAATGTATTTGCTTATTTGCTTATTTAGAGGTCTAATGGAGAATTGAAAAACTCGTTAACATCACTCTAGAGGAAAACTAATTATTTATCTGTAATTGACTTTTAGCAAACAAACAACATAAATGTAATCATGAATAGCCCATAAACATGATTACACATTTAATATAAAGCAATGCCTTGTGTTAATTTCCGTATTTTAACACCAACATTTTGGGCAAAGGGGGAGTATTAACAATTCACTACTTCTATTTTTTTCCCAACATATTGTGTTTAAATAAACTCAGAAGCAAAGATAAATAAACTAAATTAGATAAGGGGGACATTGGTTGCTTTTGCTTTTAATTACACTAATACAATTAAAACAGTTGGGTATGTGTGAGAAACAATCAAGGTGTTTAGCAATTGTCCACAAAGGTTAAAAGTCTATTTTCTGTGTGAACATTTAAGTCCCTGACTGAGAGTCAGTTCCAACCACAAGGTGTGATCCAAGAAGGAAATGATCATTACGCTACGGCTTTTCTTGGTTCTTATTTTTTAATTCTTATGAATAGTAACGAAAATATATAGAAGTAATTGTCTGGTGTGATTTAAAAAGAAGCACATGCATTAGACAGCAACTGCGGTGGCTGTGGTGTTAATTTAACAGGCGGACAGACGGCTGAACCCAATTGTGCCTTTAGCTTGACCTGCACTTTTCTTTCTTTAATGCAGCGCTTTTGTTATCTTAGACTGTCATGGATGCATGGGTTTAATATTAGTTGGGGTACGCAGAGAGAAACTGTTACCAATTACTTAATCAATTCCTTTGAAGTCAAACTATTAATTCGATGCTTCCTTGCTCCTCGTGTCTGTCTCCAGGTATTATCCACGCCCGAGCTCTGGTCAGGGAGTGTCTTGCAGAGACGGAGAGAAGCGCCCGCACATAACCTTTTTCAAAGCTCCCTTCACTCCTCACTCTTTCCCGTAGAAGCCTGTCCTCAAGATCCCCAACGTCTGTTTTACAACTTTTTTCCATCCTCTGCTTTTTTGCTCTTTCCTCTGCGGCTTTTTATAGTTGCATTTTGTCCTTCTTGGCTCCACTGTTCCCTGCATTCCACAATACCATTTATGTTTATCACAAACGTTCTGTGAACTGTAGGGTGTATGCAAAATGCAGGTTTGTATCTATTTTAAATAGAATTGTGGGGAATTTAAACACATTACTAAGTTGAGCCCTTGGTAAAAACCTTAGTAAGATTGATTGGAATGTTTTAGTTTTATTTATTCAATAATGGCTATTGACCAAGACAGATGGGTTAGTTTTAATGGTGGAATCAAAGTTCCAGCTGCACCCCGTCTCAAGTTTCTATGCTGACCGTCACTCTGCATCCACTGTATATGTTTTGTTAATCTGAACATCCTTAATATACCGCATTTCCATCCACATTGCATTGTTTTTTTGTAGTGTAAACACACATTAGATGTTTTTCAATCCCAAGAACGCTGTACATCTCAAGTCAATTTGTTAGTATGGAAATTTTGTAAACCAGATTTTTGCAGTTCTGTATGTATATCTTAATTAAATAACTGAAAAAAAAACACCTTCAATTTATTTTTCATTTGTGAACCATAATTAATAAGAATGAATGGGTCGTTTTTGGTTTTGGTTACACTGATGTATTGTGCAGACATCTTCAAATCATTTGAGTGAAGTCCTTCAGGGTATTGAGCAATGAATAGACTCCATTAATGAAAGCAGCAATGTGAGAGCTCCGAAAACTTTTAAATTCTACTTGTGCAAATGTTTTTAACAATTTCTCTAAATATTTTGAACATCTTTTACTGCAGAAAATGCTTGAACACTAAGAGGATACTAAACGAGCACTATTTTCCAAATCATGTGGCACAAAATATAGTAAAAGAAAATACAGAGCCATAGATAAACCCACATTTATTTGTTGTTACATAACCATCTCACTAAAATCTCACTTCAGATTTCAGACGCCATTAGTGCTTCACATGAAGAGTAATGAGTGGCTCTATTAAAGCAAGTAAAGGAGCAGGTGAGGGGAGAGTCGGTATTGACAAAAAAACAATACAATGGTATATTTATTACATAAAGGAAATAAGTACATAAGCGAAAGCAAAGATAACAAGTCCTTGTGTGTTTTATAATTGTCACAGAACTCTGGGTTTCCCAGTTCCATACACCAGGAGATAATGGCCTCCTGCTTATTCCTGTGCTTCCGCTGTGGCCAAGATGGAAGAGCAGGTGTGGCGGGGTAAAGCAGCAGAGTGCATGATCGGTACATGATGTCCCTTGTGCAAGAAAAAAAACTATATTCCTTGTTTCTTTGGAGGGGAGAACATCTGGAATTCCATCGAAATCTTTCCTGGTTGGATTATGGTTATATTAGAAAAATCCAACAGCTCCGCACATATTTCAGAGAAAACAAGACAACAAAATACAATGTAACTACTTGTTTCTAATACTGTGAAAAGTGTGTTTTTCTATATAAATTGCAATATAATGACTTTCCACAAACAGCTGATAAATGCATCATTAAATGAAAAAAACAAAAATCTCTGCAGCAAATCCTGTGAAAATGTTACCACGGGTAACATTCTGTAGGTGGTAGCCCATTCCTGTGAGCAAGTGGAAACCAAGAGTGCTAACATTTCTGTTGCTTCAACAGAGGAAAACCATATGCTCTGAAATGACAATGCTGTTGGCCAGTACATACCATATATCGGGTTTCTATGGAATATAAAAATCAAGTTGGTAATGTCACCATCTCCTCATCAAAGAATGAATTTTACTTCTTTTTTATTTCAGAGAGGGAGTTTAGAAAGAAGTAAGGCAGGAATGCAAATCGCACCTTGGTATATCTACGTGACTGGGTGTGACTCGACAGTGTGTGAGAACATTTCGAGTCTGCCATAGGGGCAGAGGGAAGAGTGTTTGGCTTGGGTTCGTGGATAAAAAGTAAAACACCAGCAGTGTCTACTGTTTCTTCTCCATCTTGAAATTCACAGGAATCCTCTTGTTCCATCCCATTGCGATATTCAACCCTACGAGGAGGGAAAAGCAAAGAATTACATTTCTACTATATGATGTCATAACAAACATCTTAAATGTAATATCTGAGAACCAAAAGATGGTTGCTTTAAAAAATAAATAAAATAAATGTACTGTAGTAGCAGTGGCTGGTGGTTCGGTGTAGTTGAACAGGCCCTTGTAGCGACCCTTTTCCTCCTTCTCTTTGTTGCGGATCCTGTCCTCCATGGCCTTCAGCTCCTTGGCAACAGACGGTCCCAGAGAGGGGTCCAGCTCCAAAACCTTATTAAAGTCCACCCTGGCCTCCACCTCATTCCACACAGCAGCGTGGGCCTTAGCACGCTTATAGTAGGCCTTCAAATTGTCTGTTATGAATGTGACATAAATAATACAAGAAGACAAATCAAATAAACATACTTGCATACATAGACAAGGATTCATGGTTTTGTTTTTTTACATTGTATACAATGACATACTACACTATGACTTTATTGTTGTGATTTTGTTGGAAGTGGCTGTTTCTTATTTAACAACAACCCTTACCCTCATATTTGAAGACGAGTGCTGAACAGTGTTCGATGACTTCGTAGTACTGGCCCTGGAGCAGCTTGCACTGGCAGAAGTTGAGGAGCAGTGGTGTGATCATATGGTCCAACTTTACCCATACCTCGTCTCCAGGATGTTCCTTGAAGGGGATAAAAAAGTCACAGAAGAGAAAGAGAATGCATTTTGTTGCAAAAGTTTTTTGTAATGAAATGAAATACTAACAACTGGATCAGATGTATTTTCTTTGTATTCAACGGTGCCCTTACCTTCATCTGTAGATTTTTTAGGCAGGCAATGCCATTGTAGTACTTCTCTGTAGCTTCTGTAATTTTGCCCTGCTTGAAAAGCGTGTTGCCCTCCTCATGGATCTGAGGCACGAGCTCAAATTTCTCTTCGTCTGTCATAGCCCACACATCAAGCTGGAACGATCCTGGAGCCAGAACCTTAGCAGACAAAGAGATTGAAGATCAGTGGCCGAACCCCCTGTTAGTGGAAGCTTTGCACATTTCAGTTTTTGCTTAACTATTAACAACAATTTGTGTTAGATTCATATTAGACTACATTATATCCACGTGTTTCCAATACTTAAATGTATGCAATATTCAAAAACATTTTTGATTTCATATTTGAAAAGAAAACTTCTTGTGTCTTTTGTTTGATGAAAAAGAAAAAATACTTTAAAAAAGTTACGTAGATATATGTCAAAGTGAGATATAAAAAGGGTAATGGTAGTTGCTGGGTACCGCAACCCAGGCTGTGTGTTGGGGCTACAATAGAAAGTAACCCTCAAACAACACTGAATCCTTTAAAAAGCAACCAATGATTTTAAAATCTGTGCTCTGCCCTGCCTGCTCACCTCCAGCAGATCGATGGTGAAGAGAAGAGGCTGCGGATTGGCCTGAAGATTATCCAGGTCGTTGTGCCCCAGAGAGTGGTGGGAGTGAATCTGGGCAATTCCACAGCAATGCCTCTGGCCTTCCAGGGGGTCCTTACCAGCACTGATGTTTCTTAGGGACTGGGACACGAGTGGGTACAGTGATGTGTGCTGAGGGGTAAAGAGAAATGGTCAATGCACGAAAGATAAAAAAAAAGATTTTCACCCCATAACAAGCAAATGACTAGCTCACTTACCTTATTTTCACAGTTAAATTCTGCAACTTCGCCTTGTCTCATGGTGATGACCACTCTCTCCCACGCAGCTAGTTTGAACTTCTTGCCTAAAATAAGCTCCATGGGTTTGCTGCGGCCCCCCATGGTCCGGGAGTCATCCAGCACTGTGCCATCACACAGGCTGGTGCGGTAGTGGAAGACCACCTGGTGAACACAGATACGAAAAACACAGACACATTAAACCCTGAACAACAGAACTATCCGGTTTAAATAATAGTTAAGACATCACCCTTTAAGTAAACTGGATCGATGCAGCTTGTTTACTAGAAACAAAGGAGCAATCTGTACTTCTCTGACAGGCCTGGAGAGCGTATCAGCTCTATCTTATTCTGGCCAATCACAACAATAGCAGTTTGATTTACGTGAGATTTAGACCAATCAGCCTTCATAAACACATACCATCCTGTCCCTCCCCCTATCTTTCCATCAGATGAAAAAATAAGGGAAGAATGTAAGGTTCCCCGGCTTTAAAAGAGCAAGCTCAACAAATGTTACACTGTGTAGCCAAAAACTAAGGCAGCAATGCCCACAACTTTGTCAGCAGTGGCTGTATACACGCGTTATGTGTTTGGTGAAACATTAATCTAACTGACAGTGTCTAAAGTGTTAGCTTCCCAGTGATAGCATTAGCTAACGTGCTTCGTCGCTTTTCTTAACCATTTCAGAGGACAAGACCCTACTGGTCCGTCTGCGGACATGCTACAGTTTTACCTTGGTTCCATTGGGAAAGGTCGATAGCTCTCCTTTGCCAGGACTGATCAATTTCTTTACAATTCCTTCCTCGAGAAGCTTACGTGCCTCTTCCTCCATCCTTGACCGAGTCGAGTTTACGACAGATGACGATGTTTGCCGAAGCCAGTCCTTTCGTTATAGCGCCCTCTAGGCTGGGGGCTGCACTGACTGCTTTCTCCGACACATAATACAAAAGGTTCACGTTTCGTGTTTTAATTGATGCAGCATGTGTACTTAATGACCAGTGATTGAATGTAACATTGACTTTACATTTTGCCTGAGTATTCTCATGTTAAGCTACACTATGTCATAAGAGTGTCACAACAAAAGTAGGCCACGAAAATATCATAGTAGGCCTATTGTATTTCATAAAATTGAAATAAAATCAGTATGGAATGATAACACTGTCAACAATTTATCTTTTTAAAACATTTAACATTGTCAGGATATTAATGTACAGTCCAATACTTCTTTCTATCATGGTCCTATGCATTCCATCACTTCATAAAGCAATTTTATTACGCTCCGTGATGTTCCTTTAACTTTAAGATTGGACAGGTCTAGAACTCTTGTGTGTAAAGATAAAGACCCCATACCAAAGTCAAATTAAACCGACATGCAGACACAATACATTAAAAAATAGCAGGAGCAAGCAGTTAAATAGACACTGATATTTTACAAGAGATTAAACTCCCTGAGCAAGCAGGGCTGCAGGTTTGACTCCCCCCCCCCCCCTTCTCTAGCTCACTTGCAACAACAACAAAAAACACATCTTAAAATATACAAAAGTTTTATTGTAATTTCACAGTCATTATTCACACAACATAGAGAAACACAGGCAAGACCTATCTCCTTCTTTTTCATGTACACACACAGCAATATCAGTTCATGTGGAAACAAAGTCGAAGCACTGAGTGGTTGAGTAAGTAGTGGTCATAACAATGACAAGAAAAACAACCATGTATCAACCTTTTTAGTTAAAAGTGAGAAAATACAATTCATTTAAAAAGGTAAAAAGTAAAATGAGTGTCTCATGAAATGTTATTTTTCAAAATAAGGTAGGTAGAACAATTTGAAGCCTCTTCTTCCACGGACAGCACAGCTGATGTATATCACGTGGTACACTGCAGGAAATACAGAGAATACACTAATTATATCTTCCAAACAAAGCACACATTAACTGGTATGGGCGAATGTAAAGTGAAACAAAAAGGCTGGAAACAAAGGATCAATTTACCGCCAGGGATGAAGAGAAGAAATCCAGGTACAAAGAAAATAGCACTTGAAACCCCTGTGAAGACAGTCATTTTAGAATCAAGACACAGTCACACACAATATTCAAAGCAACCACACATTAAAGGGAGAGTTTAACATTTTAGGAAAGCATATTATTTTCTTTATTGCAAGAATACAGATGAAAAGATTGATAGCTGTTGGGACAATATTTTGTTTCTGACTTTGTTTGAAACTACAACTTTGCTGTCTTAGAATTTGCTGACAATTGACAAGTACTATAATTTATTGTAGCATGCAGCTACGGTTTACAATAAATTGTATTCCTTCACACCAGTTGTTAAAGGTCCCATGTCATGGCCATTTCTACTGATCATAATTCCATTGTTGAGGTCGGTTTACATTGTGCAATTTTCCAAACTCACATTGGTTTCTCATACAGCATCTCTGTATAGTATGTGTATTCACTCTGTCCTACACCGCTTGTTGGAGCTCCTTCCCCCCCCCGCCTCCCTGTGAGCCCACTGTGCTCTGATTGGTCAGCTCGCCTACTCTGTTCTGATGAGTCCACCACCGTTACAGTGGAACATCAATGATTATGTGTTACAATGGCGTTAGCAACCAGAAAACGACACGTAATGACAAACAGATGAGAATGCTGCGTGGGGTCAGGGTGCCGTGTTGGCGGGACGTTGCGAGGCTCGCTGCTGCGAGGAGCGGACAGTGTGAACTGGCTTACTGGTGTGGTTTCCTGGTTGCTACGTGGGGTCGGCGAGACAGCGAGACATCGCGAATGGACGCGGGAAGGGGGGGGTACTAAGGGGGCTGCAGCACCCCCATCTGCGAGGCTCCACTAGCACCCGCACCCCCAAACGCGGCGCACCTAAAGTGTAAGCACGCACAGTCTCGCCGCTGCGAGGCTCCACTTGGGTACGGTCACGTCACTGTACCCAGGAAGAAAAAGAGAAATCTCCAACGAGGCGTTCTGGGGCAGCATAGACAGGTGTTTTCTGTGTTAGAGTTTTACTCGCTACAGGGTGTTCTTTGAGGTTTTGTTACTTTGCAGACCGTTTACATGCATACAAACCTTCAGAACACACAAGGGGACAGGTAATAACCAGAAAAACATGACCTGGGACCTTTAAAGTTGAGCAGGACAGATTTGTACTGGATTGAGAAACAGTGTTTTTTATCATGAAAGGGACTTTGGCCTTAAATGACTGCTGCTTCTTCACCATCGATCCAGCAGAGTGTGTGCGATGGTGTTACAGGAAAAGTATACAGACAGGATGACACACTGAGCTGCCAAGCTTTGTTTGTTGGCTGCCAGAATACACATTCATAGACTCCAACCAAAACATACAGTCCAGCATTTACCATGCAGGTACACAGACACAAAGGAATGTCTTTCTTGTAATGTTTGCGTTAGTTCAATTAAATGGAGATATTTTTGAATTGGTACTTTATTTTCCAATGTAGTAATTCGTGTTTAGTTTGTGATTTATTATTTAGTTGAACATGATTGGTTTCCGTTTGGTAATTGGTTTCATGAAATGTTTCTTTGGCTGCTTTTTGGCTCTGTATCAGCTGATAACAATCTACAGCTTTTTGATGCTTTAAGCATTACTCTTCTTCTTTTTTTTATATCCAGCACACACATTTAGCATTTTGTGCTTGTTGATAATGTTTAAATGATCTGTGGTCATATTGCATCTGGGTTAACAGACTAATTATGTTGTTTTTGGACAAGAAAATCATGTAATTAACCAAAAAAGTTTAATTTCCTTACCGACAACTGGATTCAGCTGGATGACAACACCTGTGAAAATAAGAGCTAAAAGAAAAGATGAAAGTTCATTTGCAGGGTGGGGTGACAATCCAGCATTTATAAAACTCTTTTTTTATTCAACTCTAAAAACCTGTTTTACAAATAGTAATAACAAGAGGACAAAGTTCAGGGTTCTCAACATGTCACTGACTTACACAACACTAAGAAAAACAGGAACAGATGACAGAAATAAAATAAAAGCATTTATTTTTAAGGTAAGACATTATTACAACAGGTTGCTTGTTTTTGTTTATATTTGGTAATAAAAAGGTCTGACTGTCTGACTGTAGGGGTGGGTGGGACTGGTCTAATGGGATTCTTTATTTGCTTAAAAAATATTTTGTTGTGTTTTCTTTTTCTTTCTTTTTAAGTCACCTACACTTATACCCTGTATTTTTTGTCCTGCACATTGTTTTATGTTTTGAAAAATAAATAAAGTGCTCGAAAGTATAAATGAACTGTTCAAGACTTACCAACTCCAGTGATGAGGAGAAGGAAAGAAGCCAGAACAACTCTTCTGTTTTTCTTCACGAGCGGATGGGACACCCACCTGAGCAAAGATTGTTTTCAAAGCGAGTGTTTGTTGTTGTTAGTGTGATAATTTGTGTGTATGTGGTTGTTGAAGTTTGCTTTTGTTGTTTGAACTCACCCACAGCAATGAGCAGAAAGGTGATTGACAGAACTCAAGGTGCTGAAGGACCACTGCGAGCTGCAGTAAGACAGAGTCGCAGGGTCGCTATGGAGAGAGCACAAACAGAGTTTATCTCACATTCAAAGGGTTAAGGTAGAAGGAGGGGTGAAGTTAAATCACATCAATAGTTCTACACAGAAGACTCACCTGATTTTGAAGAAGTTATTGAAAGAGGAATTGCTGACCAAGACGTCTTCATTTTCCAGATTCTACAGAAACAGCAGATGATAAAGAAGGTGCAGTTTCAAGTTCTTCTGAAATGTTTACAAATCGATTAAATCAGTTTTTACAATGTAGTTTGTTAGGTCTCTGTCTGCTGTTGTGTTTGTGTTGCTGTCGTGATGTTCTCTGTCCCTGTTTTTATTTGTATAGAAACCGTTTTGTTCTGCTGCCTCGCTTGATCCGAACTCCTTGGCAGAATATATATTGTATCTCATTGGAACCTTTCTGGTGGAATAAATAATTATTTAAAAAAAAATGTATTTGTACCTGATACTTTAGGTTACTGTGTTCAGGGGAGCCGGGAGCAGCAGCAGGCGAGGGATGAGTCTGAGGTTTGGAGAAAGTTAGAGGACCAAATGTCATCTCTGCTCCTTCCCTGTCCTTGTCTTTGCTCTTCCATCCCTCGGTGTCTCCATCAGACACTGCTTCCTCCTCATCTCCATCCAACACAAAGGCATCATCGATACTAAATTGTGTGGCCATGATTGCCTCTTACACCCTTCAGTTATGTGGCTTGATGTTCACTGTGGATTGAGAGAAAAAACAGTGCTTCTTAGAGGTTTTATACACATCCTATGATCTGTTCAGAGATAACATGCACCGTCTATAATTCCAGTCTAATAGTACAATAATTATAAGCTAAAAAGTACACTTTATTGACTTTTGCATTTTAAGTACGCGCACAAATAACTACACTCACAATAAACTGGTCTGGAGACCGAAATCTTCTAACGTGATTTAAGTATAAACTTGAACAAAGACAATACTGCCTTGAATGGGAACTTGTATTTGAGCAAACAGGACCAAAGTTAACTTAAGTGAACCAGCAGCAGTTTCTTGGCTGTGTTGTTGGCCATTGTTTGGTCTCTTTCCGCTAGTCGATCAGATGACCAGGAGGAAAACTTAACTTACTCTCTTTAGTTGATCTCTTCTCCAGGGAGCCTGAACTCTACTCCAAGTTGTGAAGGCACGGGTCACATACTTGTAAGCTATTAAATTATCAACAAAGCCTTCTTTCCACTTTTTGTTTTGTTCTTTATAGCGAAAAACGATTAAAAAAAAAAAGTGTTGAGTCTCTTCGTTTTTTAAAAACCAGGTCTCGATTGCACACGTCTGATTACGCCCTAAGATCACTTCGCGACCAGTTACTCAGTCTGCTTAATCGAGTGTCGGTTTGTCGATCGTCACACGTTTAGTGGTGAAGGAAATCTTCCTACTACTTAACAAGAAAGAGTCCTTTTTCTGCAAATTAGCACATATTCAGCTTGTTTGCCTTCCACTATGTTCTTTTCTGTGTATCTTTCCAAATGTAACCTTTGACAAAATCCAATTACGTAAAACACTTAAAGCAAAAACATGTAATGCAAATTGAAAATGAGTAAAAGTGAAACCGTTACACTTTTGAGCATGTATTGTTGAAGATAAAAAACCTGGACTTAATCACTTATAAGTAATTAAACACTTTCTTTGCATTACAAAATTAAATGCAATGAATGCAAAATCAAACGCGCACTGAATGTTATCCCACATTGTATCTGTTGCCAACATGAAATCATGTGATTTCCAGTAAATCAGAAGACCTCCATTATGCAAACAAACATCTCTAAACCAACAATCATAGATTAGTCATTGTTGGTTGCAGTTCAGAGGAGCAGACAGTCAGATGTGTGGATGGAATTAACGGTGATAGGTGTAGCATACAAAGTACTGCTAAAGAATCATTGGTGATTGAATTTGGATTCATTTGGAAATTCGACAAATGTGAGTTGTGATATGTTTCTCCAACTTTTTTGTTTATAATCACTGAACCAAGGTAATGTTATTTATATCTTAAATTACTATCACAAATAACTTTTCTTTATTTTATTCAAATGGAAGCTGTAGCTAAATTATCAAAGTTTTAAAAGATTTGATAGTCGACAACATCACTAGTTTCAGGTATTGCGCCACATTATTGATATTTTTTTCGGCTTGGTGCTATATTCAGTTGGAAATCCTCACTTGTAAAACATCTAAATCAACTTTCCAATTATATTTTGCTACCGTTCATCCATTCTCTGTTTCAGATGAAACAACAGGCTTTACTTTGCCTCTTGCTGCAGCTCGCTTTTGAGGTAGGGCCGCCTGAGAATTGCAGCTCACACAGAATGTGTACCAATATGTTACATAGCCATTATAATTCTATCTGAACAAGTGCTTAAACCTTATCATGTTTGTCTGTTGAATATAGCAGCTTTGCCTCAAGATGTTTAACAATTTATTTCTGTCAAGCTTTCTTCAGGGACAAATCTTTGGGTGGTACCTGGTTCCAGTCTGGAGCTGCCATGTTTCTCGTTTCAAACTGACTTCCCTGGAGCGGCCATCACCTGGAAATTCAATGGTCTAATTATATTTCATATACATAAAATTGAAAAATCTCCCAGTTATATGTTTGTTTAATTTGATATTTTTCATTATACAGGTAATGAGATAAATGCCAATACTCCGAATGGCTCGCCTAGAGTTAAACAGGGTGGCAGGTATCTTTTTATATCTCCTGTTACTGCTGCCAACGAGGGCGATTACTCATGTTTGATAAAGGACAACGATAGGGAGATGATGACAACATACAAAGTTAGAGTTGATGGTGAGAAACATACACATTTCTCTTTTCATACAAAAAAAAGTGAATTTGGGTAGAATTGATTTCAAATTCAAGTGTTTTTGCCTCTTTCTCCAGCATCCTTTAACTATAGCATCAAGGTTATCAAAGGCTCCACTGCTCACCTCCCGTGCCATTTCCAACCTGCCGGGGAAGTCAAAGCCAATGCACTTTGGTTTAAAGAGACAGGTCTTGACAATGAGCTGTTGAATCCTGAAGGAGATAACAGAGTGGAGCTGCTGTATCCACTGGACCATGATCAGAGCATCATCATCAGAGATGTTGGCATGGAGGATGCTGGGGCTTACCTTTGTCGATCTGCTGAGGGGGCAAAGCTGAGCTCTGTAAATGTCATTGTTGAAGGTAGGTCTGCCACCATGTTACAGCAGAGATAGGGTATCTGTAATGAAAATGACGTTTATTTTTTCAGAAAATCCCTTTGAAAAACAAGTTGATTATCCAACCTGTTTATGTCTGTGCAGTCTATTATTTATAGATTTATAAGGGATGTCAATATCTGACACCATAGTTATGTACCTTGACTGTGGCCTAGAGGAATTGTGGCAAAGTAATTTAGAACTTTTTACCAGACTAGTTATAATGATGTAATCCTCCTCTTCCCTTTTCTTGTATTCCTTTGTTTGCTTTTGTGCATATTGTTCTGTCCTTTGTATTTTTTATCTGTCCTTTGTGTCTGTCACAAATGTATATAATGTTTGTATTTAACGTATAATCGGTTTGGCAATCTTTTCTGTATACTTATATGTTACAGCACAGTCCGAACGAGATGTTTTCACAAAAAGTAGGTACATGTTAACAGTCTGCTTTACTTTCTTTCAGTTGCTCCTACTGCTCCTCCTCACTCGTGCATCGGCTTCACCACACCATGGGAGCCCTGCCAGGACGAGAACAGTCGCACAGGGGAACCCATGTTGCAGGAATCCATCACAGAGTTTTCCATGAAGTTGTATTCGTACCTCAGAGAATCACAACCCTCCAGCAACCTGCTCTTCTCTCCTATCAGTATCATCGGGGCACTGTCCCATTTGTTGTTGGGTATGACAACATTAAACTGTATAATGTTTGTTATTATTCTTGCAAATTCTAAAGCTAGTCATATTGTCAACTTTTTTATTGAGTTATTGAGTTTGTTCATAGTAAGAACAAAAAATAACACTAACCTTGTCCTTTAAGATGGTCCAAGCGATATTATCCCTTTGTTACCTCTGCACACGAATAAAAGATTATCTTGTATATGACTTACCGGAAGTTAGATAGATAGATTTTTTTTTTTTTTTAAATGTCACAGGAGTTTTTCTCTACTTATATGAAATGTCAGTCATACTTTGCCAATTTGCTGCTTTCATTATCACTCCAAAGCACAGTTGTATTTCTATCTACATTATGTATTTTCTTCATTCTGATGCATTCAGGTGCAAGGGGGGACACCCGTAAAGCCATTGAGAGGGCTGTCTGTGTGCCACACGACTTCCACTGTGTCCACCTGCAGATGAAGAAGCTGAGAGAGAAGTTGGCCGGCTCCTTGCAGATGGCTTCTCAGATTTACTATAACCCAGGTAAAACTATCACTGTGTGAAGCTCAAAGATTAGCTCCTCTGAAGTCATAGAGGTAGATGCAGAGATTCTGTGTCCCAAAAAAATCTCTATCTCTGCAGCTCATCGTGGTTTTTCTGTTCTCTTCCTCAGAAATCAATCTGAACCAGTCCTTTATTGACCAGTCCATCCAGTTCTATGATGCAAAACCTGTCATGCTACTGGATACCAGCGAGAACAACACAGAGATGATCAACAGCTGGGTGGCAAATAAAACCAACAATAAAATCCAGCATTTGGTCGACTCAGTGTCACCGAGTACACAGCTGATGCTGCTCAACGCTGTCTCCTTTACAGGTCAGTATAGTGTGTGCGCATAAGAGTACGGATGTGCATGTGAAAACTAATAGACTGTCTGTACTTCAGGTCAGTGGAAGGTCAAATATGAAATGAAACCCAAGAAAGGCCTCTTCACAAAATTGGATGGTGATCTGGTGAATGTACAGCTCCTTTATCACCCGAAATACATGGTGGCTATGACGTATGTAGTCCAGCTAAAGGCACAGGTGAGAAAAAAACAACACCCTCCTTAAACCACCCATTCACACACTCTACAACAGACAGCTTCACACGAGGAGAGTTACTAAGGTGTAATGGGAGGCAAAGCCACTGTGTGAGGTGAAAAGTGAAAATATGTACTTCTCCTCATAGTCATAATACATCTGACTACACAGACACAACAGATGTTTGTATTCAGTTTGACTAACAGTTTCTGATTGTATTATTGATATGGTCTATTGAGAATAAAACGGAGAAAGAGGATGCCCTTTATCAATCCAAAACTTGCTTGAGAGTCAACACAATTTTAAGTTTTCTACGGAATCAAAGTATTTAGATAGTTTTGGGCATATTCAAGGTTTCATACTAAACATAAACTACTAATAGCTTTTTCTGCATGCTTTGAATGGTGTCAATTTGCAAAAGGGTTTCAAATATTGGCACAAAAGAGGTCTGAAGTTATAGTGCAGATAAATTGACTCCATGGCAACAGTATGCTTCATATTTACATATCCCAAAGCATTATGGGTCCTGTAGCTCTGACATTTGGAACCTGATTGATGCATTCATATTTTGACATTAGAGTAGGGTGGGGGTCTTGAGGTGTATAGTTGTCTCAATGTGGTCTTTGAGGGCTCCTCAGTGTCAACATCTCGATTTTTTTTTCATTTTACAAACAGGTGGCGAGGCTTGCTCTCACTGGTGACAGCAGTCTTTACATCCTGCTGCCTAGCTCCAGAAAAGTGTCTGACCTGCAGCAGGTGGAAGAGAGTCTGACGGATACAGCTGTGCGTCAAATGATACAGGAATTACAAAAAACAACCCCTGAGCATGTGGAGGTCACTCTGCCCAAAATCGAGTTGGATGTCCAGCCAGACATGAACATGCTCATCAAGAAATTGGGTTAGTTTATCTTTCATGGTCTGTCAGACAATTTTAATACCTGCCATGCTTTCAGGTTGTGTAGTTGTATTACTTTATCAACCAGCAAGGAGACAGCCATGAAAGTGTCATTATTGAAAATAGCATACACATCATTCTGCTCATCTCCCTGTATCAGATACATTTACTTCACTTATACTCTTCTCTCCATTTCCCCCTAACCAGGACTGTCATCCCTCTTTGAGAGTTCCAACCTGTGTGGTCTCTACTCCGAAGAGAGGGTAGTTCTAGATGATGCCCGACACAGAGCCTTCCTCGCACTGAATGAACAAGGAGTGGAGGCCGGGGCCGTCACCACCATGTCGTTCTCTCGCTCCTTCCCGTCCTTCTCTGCCCTGCGGCCCTTCATCATGCTGTTGTGGAGTGACACGGCCAATGTGCCTCTCTTTATTGGCAGAGTGACCGAACCATGACAAAGAGAAAAGGGGAGGTGGAGATGTAACAGATAGGGTAAATAAAGGCCGTCTGGTAGAATGGAAATACATTTAATTATTTTACTCTGCTTTGACATCAAATAAATTCAGTACAGTATCAGTTTTGCTAAAAGTAAAGTAAGTGACCCTCAAAAAAACATATATAGGCCTGCATGTGGTTTGTTTTAAAAGACAATGATGAATAAACATATATTAACACATGGGGTATCTGTCTAATGTTTTTCAAAAATGAAATGTGTTATTCAAAGGAAGACAGGCGACAACTGAAACGACTTCAATTTATTTTGCGAAGAAGTTACACAAACCCACCACAGGATGGCAGCCTTACTGTGTGATTGACATTGACAGTGAATACACAGGGACTGCAGTAGTGAATTCCCCATCTCATTCGCCCCTGCCCTCCTGCATCATTACCACTGATTTCAATGTAAGGAAGACGAAGTGTCAAAATCTGTGACGGTAAAGGATTTGTTTTTTAAAGCAACAGCTTGCTTGGTAATCACAGCAACTGAGCAAAAATACCCTGAATCATCATATTCACAAACAAACAAATACGCACTGATGGCATTGACTGTAAACACATCAGCATTCAGAATAATCAGCTATGGTTGCACTCTATTATACAAGCTGTTAGTGATTGCTAAACATGCAGATGTATTGCAGATAAAATGATTACATAAGCAAAGCGGGGTCAATAGACAAAAGTCTAACATTTGGTGACTGTAAACAAAACGAACAGATTCAGAGAGGAATAAGCAACCAACCAGCCTGAAATGTGAACTGTATTCGATCACTGTCCCCAGCATAGCTCCAATCAAAGAACTCAGTATTCCCAGAAATGCATCTTTGATGCATGGATAACATAATGTTGATGTTTTGGTTTGATTATCTCACTGCCAACATGCTGGGAAATTCTGATGTGCATAGAGAAAGTACAGAATAAACCCTCGCCCAACCCTCTTGTTAAATTCATTTAAGGTCTAACTGAAAATGTGTTTAAGCTCACTGTTACTTGACATGATCTTCGTTCCAACCTACGATAATGCCCAAGCCCTTTTTTATCTAAACCTAATTCACCACTGAAGGATCAATTTTTTGCAGTCAACAATGAGACATTCACAAGGTTGTTGAAGGACAACAAGAACATGAGCAGCCGGATCGATTCAACAGTTAGAAAAACTCCCAGAGGCCACTGACCGACTGTGGGTGTGCTTTGTGAACCAGTGCATGGCCAGAGCTGTAGTGATAGATGAACCAGGGGAGTACATTTCATATCTTGGCAGGCGTTTAGACGTTTCAGTGAAAGTCTAGCCCAGATACACCATCGACAAGCACAGATGTGCATAGAGACACATAATAGGCATGCAGGTTAAGTGTGCAATCTAGCTTTGTTTTTCAATATCTTGGATCCTGGCCTGCGATTATTCACTGTCCCCTGCTGCCATGCATGCAGGGTGAAATCCCATTTTACCTCCTGAAGTTAAATGTAAGATGAGGAGGTAGGTGGGGGGCATTTCTCCTGCACAGTATTATCTCAGCAGGCAATCACAAGCATGTACACAGTGCTCCCAGTGTCTCCTGTCCAGAGGATAGAATATGCCTCTAAAGAGTAGACCTGCTATTCAATAGGACTGGTCATGGTCTGATGTAATGGAATGAATGCAACATTGATCACTGCAATGACTCCTTCTAATGGCGGATTTAGATTTAATCCAATATCCTCTCGAGATCAGTGTCTGAGGGTGCACAAAGTTGGGGACATTTTCAAGGTTTTAGGCATCCATTTAGCCATGAATTAGATCCCAGGACCAAAGAAAATGCCTGAATCTTCAAATCGACACACTGCTGCTGTTGCTGCTGCTGCTGCTGTGATATTGCAGAGCAGAGAGAAAATGTTGCATCATCTGTGGCTTTGTTGGAGCAGAAATGGAGTCACTGAGGTAAACCTGCTTGGATCCTGTTGAAATCTGGTTCATTACGCCGCAGCAAAGTCAAGGAACACATGGCACCTCCAAAAAGCAACATCCGTTCATCCTTTCATCAGGAAAGTCAAAAAGATCAGTCAGAAGTGACGTATCAAGATGTAATCCATTCTTTAATTCGCTCTATGACCTGTCTGGCAATGGTAGAGAGATGACAAAGGGTCTGGCACACATGATTGACGGGTTGTCAGTGTTCCCCGGCCAGGACCGCTCACACCACTGAGGCCTGTGGTGGTGGCGCTGGCTTCCGAGGATTTCTCTCTTGTATGTGTCTTCTTTGTCCTTTTTTATAATTTCTTCAGACTTCTGTGCTTCTGAAGTTTGGATGGACACATTTTGAATGGGGAGTGACATCAATACAGAGAGACTCACACACTGTACAGACAGAAAATGTAGGCACTCATTTTCTCATAGCCCTCATGCACACACACATTCACACAAATAAACTGACACGTTAATGCCTGATATGAAGGTCTATAGAAAGCCACTGTCACTTAAAGACAATGAAAGACATAAGAACAAGAACACTGAAACGGTAAAGGTACAAATCCACAGAATGGATCTTTTTGTGCTTTATAATACTGTGTTGATTTGCATCAGATCAACAACCACTAAAATAGAAACTTCTCAATACACAATCTCTTTCATAACATCTCTGCTCCTGTTACTATACACCACATTATGAGTCACTGTATGGATTTTGAGTACATTACTCTCAAATCTCTTCATTAGGTGTAAATTTGAAGGACAGAATATGAGCGGCTTCCACAATACACTAAGGTCTAGAGCACAATTCTGTGGGTAATGTTTAGTAACGTCAACACTTTAATGAGGACATCGTCACAATTTGGTTCACCTTTAAAAAATAAATTGAGATTACATCTTTTTACCTTTACTAATATTAGTATGAATATCATATACTAATACTTGGTTGGGGTAATATTGGCATATATGATTAGGCTCTGTGTCGGGCATCATCTAGAACTACCCTCTCTTCGGAGTAGATTAGACTTTTTATGACTATTATTATTGCATCTTTTATCCTTTGCTCTTATTACTACTTTACTTGGTCTCAGTAAACAACCACCTCGAGTGAGACAAATGTTGTGTGTGTGTGTGTGTGTGTGTGTGTGTGTGTGTGTGTGTGTGTGTGTGTGTGTGTGTGTGTGTGTGTGTGTGTGTGTGTGTGTGTGTCTTGTGTGATCTAGTCCGGTTTGTCACTGCTCGGGGCTCCTTGCTGTGTGAGCGTATGCCAGTACTCCACTTTCTTCCCTTTGTTTTTGAGACAGTCGAACCAGTGTCTGAGTCTCTGTCCGCTTGCTTTTATTCCCAGCTCCACTCCACCTGCAAACAGAACGACAGGAACAGAGGAGAAGAGTCAGGAGGTGAGGGGAAATTATTGGTGGGAGACCCATTTGAAGAAATTGGGGATAAGAAACAAAGAAGAAATTAAGAAATTAGAAAGAAGAAGCATTTTAAAACCATTACTGGTTTTTAGGGTAATATAAGATCATTTTGACCCAAAACATGTTCCAGGTGTAAATGTTCTACCTTTTTAAATGTTTTTTTTCAATTGAAGAAGACAAAAGTTGGGAACACAGATATTGAACTGGTTAGCAGCTTGTTTACACATCTAGCTGTTATAATCGATAAGAATTTGTTTCTGGCCATCTGATGAATGTAAATCCAAAATGTTCTCTCTTTATGCTCTGTTTTTGGTCTCCTCCATCTCCTGAGGGAAGTATCTGGCTTTTTAGCTGCTAAATGCTCCGCTATGCTCACCAGCTGGTCACTGTGTGTCTGTCTGCAGAGCAGGTAGTTTACTGTGGGACTATAGAGCTTTTTTCTTTCACTGAAAATAACTGCCTGCCTTGGGCTTAAAACACCATCTGAGAGCAGTGTGAGTAAACCAAATTTGCAATGTTGCCGCAGGACAGTTAAATAATGAGCTAAGCTTGCTATTGAGCTCTGCAAGGGGCGAGCTGCAGATTCAGGTGGTTATTCTGTGTTGGTTCAACAGAGACCCTTCCTCATATTGTCATTTAATACACTGTTACTTTTCAGTGGAACAATCAAACTAGACAAGACTAAATAAAATGCACTGTATTGAGCAAGAGGCCGCTAGTCAAAATATATTGATTAATCACTCATTAATTACCATTAGATTTATTTTGATTATTATCTTGAAAAGTAAGTGATAACTATAGCTTTCACATAAAAGCAAAAATATTTCTCTCATAATTTGCAGTTTGGTAGAAATACAAAGGGGCATAAAATGTAAATGATCAAGTTCAGTAAGTAAGTAAAAAATGTAGGGCAGTACTTGAGTAAAAGTCATTTTTTTCCATGACTGGTGTCATAAGAAAAATAACAACAGACAGACATTTCATTTTTTTCATTAGAATCTAACACTCAATAATGCATTTGAGATTCGGCAATAACGTACATAAAAATTCAGGCCAAAAATATTATTATTCTTTGACTGGGAGGCAGATATGGGAGCAAAGAAGGACATAAACAGATATTAGAGACAATTACCTCCAGGCAGAGAGAAAGATAAATAGTCTGCTAGTAAGGGAATAACAAGACAGAGAGATTCAGATAACGAAGGATTTATTGAAAGAGCATGTGGAGAATAACTATTCAGAGAAGCAGGAAAGGATGCAGGTGAAAGCTAGCGGAGGTGACGGAGGCGTTGGTGGAGAGGCAGACTGTAGAATAGAGGGATGCAGGCAGTTGTCACCGAGGTTATTACAAAGCCATTCCCCTGGCTGTGATTGCAGTTAATGGTGCGCGGAGTTTTAAACATGGTATTTTGGCAATACTACCTTCTAACAGTGCTTCAGAAAATGACAACCAAGAGCATACAAGGCTCTATTGTTGATGTTGACTCATCATTGAACGCAATGATGCTGCTTCTGGAAAAAGAGGAGCAGCCTTCAAATGTTTCCTATCCTGGATCCTTCCTCCCTTTACCTTCACACACAGACACACAACTCAGAGAGCAGGTCAAAACCTGTAGATAATCACAAACAACACTTGGTCACCTCCACAACCATCCCACCACCTCCAAACAGAGATCGATGGAATGTTTTATGAGTCTGTGGGTTGCTAGTGACAAATGGTCAGCCATCCTGACATGCATTGGGCGAAAGAAGAGGGATGGGGAGCCGGCGCAGGAGAAGAGGACAAAGACGAGAGTGAGGCTGTAACTCAGAATG